CCCCCCCCCCCCGGAGGCTACAGCCCTGCACACTCTGGGCTAAGTAAAATGCTGCTTTTGTTTGAGTATCGTTTCCACCTCAGTCAGGAACAAGTCACACTATATGCACCACGATCATCTGCAAACTAAAGTCCCCGTCACACTTATTCGGAATCAGCAGGAATCAAGCAGAACCAGCCAGAATGACTAAATTTTAAAATTCGTACTATATTCGGGAAGAAATTTCAAATTTACATAAATTCTTGTAAGAATGCTGTTGGAATACTCAGAATGCGCTTGAATCCGCCTGGATGATTTGTGCACATTTTGGCTGTATTAGCTCTCAAATGCAGCTCGAATGTAGTCGGAAAACTAGGAATATCAATAATGCTGTCAGAATATTTAGAATACTCCTCGTATGCCGCTGAAATAGGATCGAGATGCATTCAAGTTGCATCCTGGCTCATTCTAGCAGAATTTGAGGTGTCTTGCCATTTCGGTTCTCCCTCGAAAGTGATCAGAATGTTTCGAATGCTGTCGGAATGTTGTGAGAATATTTAGAATGCAGTCATAGTGCAGTTAGAATACTATTCAATTGCCATTCCATAATTTTCATCTTGGAATGCACTTCGAAAGTTTTTAACACGAGTAAACATTCGGCCGGCGTCAAGAATGGGTAAAAATATTTGGAATGCACTCGGAATCTTTAGAATGCTCTTCGAATATCCAGTAACGCACAAATAATTGTCTTTCCAACGGCATTCATGCTCATTCCACCTATTATGTGACGGGGGTATAAGGTATAATGCGGTGGAGGGGATGCTGCATTGATTGCGGTTGTTGAGACATCCCGAGTCCCTGTACTCTTCCTATTGTTCATCATATAATTCATACATGTAACCAGCAATATATTAATTAGACTGTGTACATCATAACTGCCACCGGTAAGACAAAAGATATATGCTAAATTTCAATAATCTCAATTATATCATCTCAAGTATCGAAATTCACAATACAACATAAAGGTTAATGTCCAAGTGCGGGCCACTGTAATATATCTATATGTCACCTGCTGTATTAAATCTTTTTTATACATTACTGCTACTAGGACAGTTGTATCAGTGCACACAATTGAATTCAGTCAGATAACAGTGATAAAATATGTAACCATGTCTGTATTGTACAAATATTAAGTGTCATATTGCTGATTACATTGTCTCTTACGTCTCCTTGAACATTGAACACCTCACCTGACCAGGTGTACGTGTCAAGAGAGACAACACAACTAAATGGCGACTGGGGACGTGTACCTGTCACGAAGAGAAATACATGTATAACTGGTGAAAGTACAGGTAAATCTCATTCTTAATATATCGTAATATATTATATTGGGAATGTTATGTGTCTGAGAATGACCTTGGATGGTGTTTGCTGCAGTTTGTGTCTTTATAGGGCACTGAAAATGACTTTTGGCTCAGAGTTCGGATTGCAGCATTCACTCGTCATATACCTACCCTGTAATATTTTGGTCACCTCTAGTTTGTCAGAAATTTTATCCCATTCTCGACTTTTATTAATGTCATAATTCACTTTCTAAATTTTAAATTATATTCAATTAAATGAGTTTTTGTAGAGCATAAATTTCACTTCCGCCATTCTATCCATTTTTCATGTTATTAACTTAGCTTTATGTTTGTCCTTTATTCTGTTTTGCTTATACACCTTACAGCACTCATTATCTGGGCGATGAAAAGTAATATGGCCACTCTCTCTCTCTCCCTCTTTTTATTAATTCCATAAAATGAAATTCTAGAGGTGCTGCATTGATATTCCACACACCAAAATTTCCCACTCTTATCTAAGTTCCATTAATTTCTTACAATCGACCACTCGGGGCCTTCCCCATGTAATAAAGAAGTCGCATTTTTTTAGATGTAAGGACTTCTTATTTCATTAAAACATTTAGTCACATTTCTTGCACTGCATGTATTTAGATAAAGCTTAATGGTATAGATTTATGTCCAAACCTTCAACAATTATTCGATGTCTTTCGTTTTTTACATTAAGGTGTTGGAGCTATAAGACATGTCTCTGTCCAAGATCCTAGCGGACGATTTCCTAACGTGCAGCATATGCCTTGGAAAGTTCAAAGACCCCAAGGTCCTCGGCTGTACACATACGTTTTGTCAGCATTGCCTCCAAGACCATTTGGACAGAAACTTCAAAGGTCAGCCTGACTTCCCTTGTCCTATCTGTAGGGGTCAATGTGTCCTCCCCGGGGGCGGTGTTAGTGGTTTACAAACAAATCATCTTCTGGTCAGCATATCACACACACTTAATCAAGTAGAAAAAGCCAAGGCTGCTAAGAAATGTGAAGTGTGTTGTCTGAAAAATGTCCGCAATCCACCCACGGCAACAAAACGTTGTTTGGACTGCAAGGAAAGTATGTGTGAAGCTTGTTCTTCAGACCATCTGCTTCATAAGTTAAATCGCGACCACAAACTGTTTCCTGTCGACCAGTTTGACAGTGACGATTACGTGACAGAGCTGCGTGCCCGACAAAACACCCTTTGTGACCACAACAACAAGGACCCCGTAGAAATCTTCTGTCCAGTGTGTAAAAAGTTCATCTGCGTTGGTTGTATGGTTTTAGAACACCAGGGGCACAATTGCCTAAGAATCAACATTGCTGCTGACAAACGCAAGGAAAAACTAAAATTTCACGTGAAGCCCATCGAGAAGAAAAGTCTTCTCTTCGATCAGTTCAAAACCGCTGCTGAAGACCAGAAAGCATCAGTAGAAGAAGGAAGAAAGACAGCAAAGTCTCAAGTTAAGAAGCAGTTAGAGCTAATAATTCAGCTGGCCAGTCAACGTGCCGATAATCTTCTGAAAGAAATAGACACCAAATTGAATGCTAAATTAGATACTTTAAATGAATTAATTGAAACTGCAACCGCCAACCAAAACCGACTGGACGACGTTGTTGACTTCTCGAGAAAGCTCATAAACCACGGGAACGATATGGATGTTCTGCAAATGGCACTAGTCTGTGAGCAAAGCGTCGAGANTAATTCTGGAATATATGACCTCTGTACATCATCAGTACCTGACTTGGTACAGTATAGTTACTTACTCGGATACAGAGTTAGATTTAATAATGTAACAAAAAGAACAATATATATTATAATAATAAACTTCTCTGCACATATCAGACGCTTGTTACCATGAACTAACACTACTTGACAATGGGCTGAGCACTTATCACAGAGTCTGTGTGCGATGCCATTCTTGTGCTGTGATTGGTTAGTTGAGTCACGTGAAGCCCTACTGTTGCGCCCTCGCGTATCGCGTATATGCTGCACATTTCTGGCCATGGGAAGTGTTGTAGGCTTGTCGGTGTGTAAATTAAGTCTACCGGAAGCAGGTTCAAAGTGCGGGTATTGTGTCCGAGTCCGTCTTTAGTTAGCTGGTTGGAGAACTACAGTTCCTGTTGGATGCGCGGAATTTCTGTCCTGGCACAGATTTCTGTCCTGGCGCAAGCGACTCCCCCGGCGCATTTTCCCGACGCCGACATAGCGGACAATTTCCGGGTGGGCAGCTCGGGTCTCGCTAGCTTTTTGAAACACCTGTCGTGTATTTGAAGAAGGGGAGAATCAGAACTTAAAGGATCAGAGTTAGTGAGGCGAGTTACTAAATAGAAAACAGTGTGGATGTACTGTTGATAGTCGAATTGCTTCCAAAACCCTACTGCGTTATACATGTTGTTTCCTATTCTGATTTAAATTTTCCGAATTGTTAGTTTTGATTAATTTTATAAAGAAAATTGGTTTAATTAAAGGGCTAGGGAAGGCACCCCTATTTTTGAAATGATCAAGCATCGCGAAATACTTTTCTTAAAGTTTTTATTTTTAAGAAAGGGATTTAAGAATGCATTTTGTGCGTTGGGCTTTCACATTTGTTGTGGCACAGTGTTAAGTCCACTATCAGTCTTGGTTGTATAAAAGGGAGATTTAACTTACTAGTTACTAAGTAATTAGTAGTTACGAATAAAATAACAAGTGGGGTAGATGTAGAACACACACAAACAGGTAATGGATATTTATGAAGACAGTATTACTGCAATATTTTACTTGTGTAACTGCACTGCCATTCATTACTCTTAAAAGAAAAAAAGAAGTTGATATGGTTATCGGAATTCATGTGAACACGTGTTGTGCTTCTTAACACTTCTTGTCATTTTAACCGTTAACGATTTCTTCCTGGTTATATGCATACTTGATATAGGACCTTTGCATCGGAGTGTGACACTTTCACCAACCATGTGATCGCGAACATTTTGTAAACCCGACAATTAAGTCTCGGTCGTTATCCGCTTCTCGTAATTAGAATTTTACTGCAGTTTGTTTCCATTTGTTATGTTTTTATTTAATTCATTTTTATTTATTATTTTAATTTTTATTTATTCATTTATTTTTTGGAAAATAACAAACGCAACATATGGTTTTAAACATAAGGTTATTGGTTGGAAAGAATAGAAATTTCATAATTGCGTATCGCCCAGACAGCCACAGAACTTATGACTAACCGCTCATAAAGTGCACCTTTGCTATTACTGAAAATGTTGACACCCTGTCCTCTCTGTTTAACCTTAACATGTCTCTTAACGTTCTAGAACTGATTTCGTAAAAATGATATATCGTCACCTAGGTATTCACACTCTGGGCTAAGTAAAATGCTGCTTTTGTTTGAGTATCGTTTCCACCTCAGTCAGGAACAAGTCACACTGTGCACAACGATCATCTGCAAACTAAAGCCCCCGTCACACTTATTCGGAATTAGCAGGAATCAAGCAGAACCAGTCGGAATGACTAAATTTAAAAATTCGTACTATATTCGGGAAGAAATTTCAAATTTACATAAATTCTTGGAAGAATGCTGTTGGAATACTCAGAATGCGCTTGAATCCGCCTGGATGATTTGTGCACATTTTGGCTGTATTAGCTCTCAAATGCAGCTCGAATGTAGTCGGAAAACTAGGAATATCAATAATGCTGTCAGAATATTTAGAATACTCCTCGTATGCCGCTGAAATAGGATCGAGATGCATTCAAGTTGCATCCTGGCTCATTCTAGCAGAATTTGAAGTGTCTTGCCATTTCGGTTCTCCCTCGAAAGTGATCAGAATGTTTCAAATGCTGTCGGAATGTCGTGAGAATATTTAGAATGCAGTCATAGTGCAGTTAGAATACTATTCAATTGCCATTCCATAATTTTCCTCTTGGAATGCACTTCGAAAGTTTTTAACGCGAGCAAACATTCGGGCCGGCGTCAAGAATGGGTAAAAATATTTGGAATGCACTCGGAATCTTGAGAATGCTCTTCGAATATCCAGTAACGCGCAAAGAATTGTCTTTCCAACGGCATTCTTGCTCATTCCACCTATTATGTGCCGGGGGTATAAGGTATAATGCGGTGGAGGGGATGCTGCATTGATTGCGGTTGTTGAGACATCCCGAGTCCCTGTACTCTTCCTATTGTTCATCATATAATTCATACATGTAACCAGCAATATATTAATTAGACTGTGTACATCATAACTGCCACCGGTAAGACTAAAGATATATGCTAAATTTCAATAATCTCAATTATATCATCTCAAGTATCGAAATTCACAATACAACATCAAGGTTAATGTCCCAACGCGGGCCACTGTAATATATCTATATGTCACCTGCTGTATTAAATCTTTTTTATACATTACTGCTACTAGGACAGTTGTATCAGTGCACACAATTGAATTCAGTCAGATAACAGTGATAAAATATGTAACCATGTCTGTATTGTACAAATATTAAGTGTCATATTGCTGATTACATTGTCTCTAACGTCTCCTTGAACATTGAACACCTCACCTGACCAGGTGTACGTGTCAAGAGAGACAACACACCTAAATGGCGACTGGGGACGTGTACCTGTCACGAAGAGAAATACATGTATAACTGGTGAAAGTACAGGTAAATTTGACTCTTAATATATCGTAATATATTATATTGGGAATGTTATGTGTCTGAAAATGACCTTGGTTGGTGTTAGCTGCAGTTTGTGTCTTTATAGGGCACTTAAAATGACTTTTGGCACAGAGTTCGGATTGCAGCATTCACTCGTCATATACCTACCCTGTAATATTTTGGTTACCTCTAATTTGTCAGAAGTTTAATCCCATTCTCGACTTTTATAAATGTCATAATTCACTTTCTAAAGTTTAAATTATATTCAATTAAATGAGTTTTTTGTAGAGCATAAATTTCACTTCCGCCATTCTATCCATTTTCATGTTATTAACTTAGCTTTATGTTTGTCATATATTCTGTTTTGCTTATACACCTTACAGCACTCATCATCTGGGCGATGAAAAGTAATATGGCAACTCTCTCTCTCCCTCTTTTTATTAATTCCATAAAATGAAATTCTAGAGGTACTGCATTGATATTTTCCACTCTTATCTATGTTTCATTAATTTCTTACAATCGCCATCACGGGGTCCTCCACATGTAATGAAGAGGTTGCATTTTTTCAAATGCAAGGACTTTTTATTTCATTAAAACGTTTAGTCGCATTTCTTGCACTGCATGTATTTAGATAAAGCTTAATGGTATAGATTTATGTCCAAACCTTCAACAATTATTGGATGTCTTTCTTTTTTTACATTAAGGTGTTGGAGCTATAAGACATGTCTCTGTCGAAGATCCTAACGGAAGATTTCCTAACGTGCAGCATATGCCTTGAAAAATACAAAGTCCCCAAGGTCCTCGGCTGTGCACATACGTTTTGCCAGCATTGCCTCCAAGACCATTTGGACAAAAACTTCAAAGGTCAGCCTGGCTTCCCTTGTCCTATCTGTATGGGTCATTGTGACCTCCCTGTAGGCGGCGTAAGTGGTTTACAAACAAATCATCTTCTGGTCAGCATATCACACACACTTAATCAAGTAGAAAAAGCCAAGGCTGCTAAGAAATGTAAAGTGTGTTGTCTGAAAAATGTCCTCAATCCACCCACGGCAACAAAACGTTGTTTGGACTGCAAGGAAAGTATGTGTGAAGCTTGTTCTTCAGACCATCTGCTTCATAAGTTAAATCGCGACCACAAACTGTTTCCTGTCGACCAGTTTGACAGTGACGATTACGTGACAGAGCTGCGTGCCCGACAAAACACCCTTTGTGACCACAACAACAAGGACCCCGTAGAAATCTTCTGTCCAGTGTGTAAAAAGTTCATCTGCGTTGGTTGTATGGTTTTAGAACACCAGGGGCACAATTGCCTAAGAATCAACATTGCTGCTGACAAACGCAAGGAAAAACTAAAATTTCACGTGAAGCCCATCGAGAAGAAAAGTCTTCTCTTCGATCAGTTCAAGACCGCTGCTGAGGACCAGAAAGCATCAGTAGAAGAAGGAAGAAAGACAGCAAAGTCTCAAGTTAAGAAGCAGTTAGAGCTAATAATTCAGCTGGCCAGTCAACGTGGCGATAATCTTCTGGAAGACATAGACGCCAAGTCGAATGCTAAATTAGATACTTTAAATGAATTAATTGAAACTGCAACCGCCAACCAAAACCGACTGGACGACGTTGTTGACTTCTCGAGAAAGCTCATAAACCACGGGAACGATATGGATGTTCTGCAAATGGCCCCAGTCTGTGAGCAAAGCGTCGATAGCGTTCAGACTATCGACATCCCGACCCTGCCTGCAGCCATGACCAGGCTCCAGCTTATCACCAAAGACATGGAGGAGTGCGTTACCAATATCAACAGTTGCCTTGGAGACGTGGTTCCCGCTGCCAGTGGAAGATTGGTGACATCATTCAAAGAAGAACTGAGCAAGTGTCCCGAGGAAGTGATCAGTCGCTTGACCACTGATGCGAATTGCGACATCCTCATTAGTATTTTTTGTAAGGATAAGGCACGAAACAGGATCAATATCTACGATAACAACTTTGTCCTACAAGACACGATTCCTAACCCAAGAGCAGCAGAAAAGGAATCCTTTGCCGGTATTGCCATTGATGATGACAGTCACATCGTCACTAGATGTCAGGGATCAAATGAAATCATTGCCTTCACCAAAACAGGGGACCAAGTCAGAACATTCCACAGTAAGTCACCACATGCAGTAGCGGTCAACAGCAAGGGTCACTATGTTGTAGCCGGTTTCAATACCCTGACTGTGCACCACAAGGATGGCAAGGTCCTGCAGACGGCACCAGACCCAGGGGGTAAATATACTAAACACATCCACTGTGACGTGAATGATGGCGCCATAGTCTCAGATCCAGCATCTCATCACATCCGTGTCTACGATTCCACTCTCCAGCTCAAATACAGATATGGTACCCAGGGTGCTGGGGATGGACAGGTGGGCAGACCGTGCGGCACGTGCTGCTTGGATAATGGAGACATAATTGTAACAGACCCCGGCAACTACCGTCTACACCTGGTGTCACCAGATGGGGAATTCAAGCAGATTCTTTTAAGCAAAGAAGATGGAATTCGCGTTCCTGTAGATGTAGTACTGAATCGTTTTGGACAACTGGTAGTCGGGGAAGAGAGAGGTGGGATTAAAGTTTTCCAGTTATGACTCATGATATCAAACTAACAATGGACACCGATTATATGATTGATAATACAAAAGACTAAATCGATTCTTACTTACAATGTAATGTCAGCCGGCCTCGTGTAAAACTTATGAGACGTGGACCATAAACGTTTTGTTTCAGTATAATTCCTCGGCCCATTGGTTGCATATCCTTTAAGGGCGAAAATTGTTATCTGTAACTAAACAGGCATATGATGTCACAGAATATTGTAAATCTGTATTTGTGCACCACGCATATTGTTGTAATACAAACATTAATTGTTACCTGGTTATACTGGAAATGACTGAAAAAAATTAGCATCTGTAATTTTTGGGAAAGAAGAAATATGTCAAAGCAACTGGATTCTGAATATGTCAAGGTTTATACTGTTACAAGTATCACTCCTGTATTATTTTTTTTTCAGTTTTAGAGAATTGTTTCCCCTGTAAAATAATCTACTGTATTGATGTTTAAAATTATTTTATTTATGTATTTACACTGTTGCAATGCATGTATCATTCTGAGAGGACAGAGAGGCGTTTGTTATAAATTGTACGAATGGGAAAATTTAATTGAAATGTTAATTGTTTAATCAATCTATATCTCATTAATTAAATAATATAACATTTTTCATATATTAATATATTGTTGCATTCTCAATCTGAATATTTGCAATTGTTGTCTGTGTGTAAATTAATCGGGTTTAAAGTAAAGGATGGAAAAGCTGTAGTTCCGTTCAATTGCGCGGAATAAGTATCCCTGATCCTGGCACATATTTCTATCCGAGCAAAGATTTCGGTCGTAGTTAAGATTTCTGTCTGAACGCAGATTTCCGACCAGGAGCACAGTTTTCGCCTCTGCCACATACGTCTCCCCTGACGCAGATTTCCCAAAGCGGAGAATTTCATCGTGAGCAACGCAGGTATCGATAACTTTCTGGGGGTCATGTTGCGTATTTAAAGGAGGGGTAAATCAGCATGTGGAAGATTAGATTTCGTGAGACGGTTTAGTGAATAGAAAACAGTTCCTGTGGATACACAATGTTGATAGCGCTTTCCTAACTCGGCTACGATTAATTTCTGATTCTGATTTGAATTTTTCTGGTTCATGCAGAAAAAGGACAAAGAGCGCGGAAAATGTCTTGGGATCGTTTCCCTTTCAACAAATTTCCAAAATCTCTTCTAAGAGACCCCTTGCGGTTTTTGTCATAAATTTTTCTACCCCACCTGGAGTATCCTCACAGTTTCGCTTGAAAAGTCTATTTCATTTACGTAAGACCAAATATGGACTTAAACCCAATGCCGCCTCACGTGCCCTTTGCGTCTGGCTGTAGTATCCCTCGGCCATTTTCATTGCTTGCTACTTCAATTCTCTCCGAATATCACAAAAATTACTCTACGAAATCGTGTGCGAGTTTTTGCCAAATTTGTACAGGGACCATAGGTATACGGAAGAATTTAAATACGTAAAAAGTTACTCATGGGGCCTCTTAACCGACTCAGAAAGATCTTGGTTCCCGATTACGGATTCGATATAATTATGACAGATTTATTATGAGCGAACTACATTGCATCTAAGAGCATCTTCAGTAAGCTCCTTTAGCAGAATGTTAAAAAGTTAATTGATTACGGTACGTTTGACATTATACCCGATGGTACGTGTGAGGAGACTTTTTAGAATCTTTAAGATCCGGAGACGGTGATACCACTACGGCCATGATGATGTATTGCGGTAGATGTGACTTGACTCACACATTGCACATTAGTTATTTGTTGAGTTTTGTCATGTATGTCACACGCATTCAGAAAACACGCTTCTCAATTCCTTCTGTAGGTAATCATACGACAGTTCATGTAATAATACAAAATTTTAAGATCATTAAATATTTTGTGAAGCGAGCGGTGAAGCAATAATGTTTCATCACGTTCTCGCCTAGCGAATATTGCTGCCGCGTGCGGAGCCATAGTGTTAGGATTTGAAACGAGGCTCACTATCGGAACGAGGATAACTCATCGACGAATGAGATCGGATGGGAGTGACGTGTTCTGTTTACCTCAGGGTCACCTGTTCGTCATTTTATAATCTAGGTCGTTAGGAAAGCCACAGCTGCCAGTTGAACAGAGACGCGAATGTCGTCAAAGTCCCATGTGAAAGGTAAGGGGGAAATTATATTTCATTTCTTATACATAAAGGTTATATTTAAACTGCCTTCTCGCATATGAAATATATCTACATTGGTGTAATTGCGTAAAATGTGTAACAAACACATGTGCTAGGTATTAAAGGAAATCAGCGGCGCCATTTCAACGGCTCAGTCGATTCTGCGTGACTCTTTAACACCCCATTTCCATAGATTAGATCGACCTACTTTAGATCGACCTAACTCCCTGGGGGTTCACGCTAAATAGCTGTCAGCCGGGCGGACACGAAAGTTAATTACCCCCTTACAGTTTGTAGTAGGCGGGACGGACATTTAAGTCGGATTATCTGAAAGTAATCTAGTGAGACTCCCCGCGGGGATAGATCGATCTAAAATCTATGGGAATAGAGCCTTAGATTCCATCTTGTTTTAGATAAAAGTATACTTCACATTTTCAACTACGCGTCTTCAACCAACAAGAGACATACTTTAGTCTAAACTGAAATTGAGCGTTTTATTAACTGGAGTGGCTCAGAAAAAAGAACAGAAAAACTTTTGATTTCTCTCCCAGGCCTCATGCCGACGGTAAACATGGGTGTTCTATTTCTTACGCTGCATTGAACCCAGGGTATTGAAAAAAAGAAAACGCTCACCTGTATTCTTTATTTGTAAGCTACTCAACCCTAGCTCTTTCATGGCCGTGTTGCTTGTAGAACTATATCTGTATGTTAACAATCACAGCAACTCGTCAATATTGAAAGAAATAGGCAGGATCCCCAGCAATATTTTTAACAAAATAAGTCCTGGCTTTTTTAAATGAAAGTGTCATACATGTTGTTTTAGTCCCATAGCAAAACATAAATTTGTCTGCTTACGCCTACTGCAACGAAAGGGTAAGGTTTATATGCACGCACAGCCAAGCAAAGTAAACATTTCTAATATATACTTTTCAAAAAGGGAATTTGTGTTGCGGAGAAGAGGTACTACTTTCTTTAATGTTACTCGATATAAAGGGTGCTCGTTTAGAAAACAACTGTATACAAATATGCCAGAAGGGTAATATGAAGTGTTTTATTAACAGGGTAGTAGACATAACCTGTGGTGGTTCTTTGGACTTTAAGATATACCAGGGTTTTTTGTTTGAGAGAATGGCAGCAAAGTCCTAAAATCCGCAAAGGTTATATTTTCATAGGCTCGCATACTGCTTTTTGTCATACTTAGAATTTAGTGTAAAACATTGTCTATTAGTCAAAATATTATTGAAAACTCGAATAACAATTACTTTCACGAAAGGTTATTGCATGTTTAAATACTTTTAAAAGCTGCATTGCTTATCTCAGTGAAATGCATAAACATCTAAGACAGGGTGATATTGAGATCTTGCCTGTATAAAAAATGTAACTGTAGGCATCCACAGCGGTAAAAGGTATAGAAACACTCTGAAGTCAAGTCTCTTGTAAAATATTTGATGAACCAAACCAAACCATGCAAGGGAATTTTACAGTAGCGTACCCGAGGGTGAAGGGAGGTTGGGTTGGGTACACCGGACACGTGATCCTCCCTTAACCTCTTTGGTACCCTTTTTCCCCTCCCAGATTACAATATAACAAGCCAAACATTGCCCTCAATATATTATAGTACATGGCATATAGTCTAATTTGTATAGCTCATTTTAAAGCTAGATAACGAGCTCCCAAAGTGTATATTTTGATATATCAGTTCGGATAGTTGGATTGCATTCGTTGGGGTCATTAAGCATGCGTGACATGCCTGGTTTTATAAATTATCTTTTCAATATATGTAAGTGAGCTACCGGTGTGTACTTTTCTTTGGAATTTGTACAGGAATGAATATCATAGAATTACGCATGTAAAATAATAACTATATTCGATTCTCACAACTACTTTTTCCACATTACATTTGTCGATTCCCTATTTTACAGAAATATGATTATTACGACGTCTACCTCCACCACCATATACTTTAGCATTTAATTGACTAATTTAATTTCTCTTTTTTTTAAGATACTGGTCCTTAGAGTCATGTCTCTGTCCAAGATCCTAACGGAAGATTTCTTAACGTGCAGCATATGCCTTGGAAAGTTCAAGGACCCCAAGGTCCTCGGCTGTACACATACGTTTTGCCAGCATTGCCTCCAAGACTATTTGGACAAAAATGTCCAAGGTCAGTCTGGCTTCCCTTGTCCTATCTGTAGGCGTCAATGTGACCTCCCTGGGGGCGGTGTAAATGGTTTACAAACAAACCATCTTCTGGTCAGCATATCACACACACTTGGTCAAGTAGAACAAGCCAAGGCTGCCAAGAAATGCGCGATATGTTGTTTGAAAAATGTCCTCAATCCACCCACGGCAACAAAACGCTGTTTGGACTGCGAGGAAAGTATGTGTGGAGATTGTTCTTCAGACCATGTCCTTCATAAGTTCTGCCGTGACTACAAATTGTTTCCTCTCGACCAATTTGACAGCGACGAATACGTGAAAGAGATGCGTGCCCGACAAAATACCCTTTGTGACCACAACAACAAGGACCCCGTAGAAATCTACTGTCCACTTTGTAAAAAGTTCGTCTGCGTCGGCTGCATGGTTTTAGAACACCAGGGTCACGATTGCCTAAGAATAAACACTGCTGCTGACAAACGCAAGGAAAAACTAGAATTTCGCGTAAAATCTACACAGAAGAAAGGTCTACTCTACGATCAGTTCAAGACCGCTGCTGAAGACCAGAAAGCGTCAGTAGAAGAAGGAAGAAAAAAGGCAAAGACTCAAGTTAAGAAGCAGTTAGAGCTAGTTATTACGACGGCCCGTCAACGTGCCAATGATATTCTGGAAGAAATAGACGCCAAGTCGAATGCCAAATTAGATATTTTAAATGATTTAATTGCAACTGCAACCGCCAACCAAAACCGACTGGGCGACGTTGTAGCCTTCTCGGGAAAGCTCATTAACCACGGGAACGCTATGGATGTCCTGCAAATGGTCTCTGCCTGTGAGCAAAGCGTCGAGAGCGTTCAGACTATTGACATACCGGCCCTTCCTGCAGCCATGACCCAGCTACAGCTTATCACCAACGGCATGGAGGAGTGCGTTACCAGTATCAACAGTTGCCTTGGAGACGTGATTCCTGCTTCCAGTGGAAGATTGGTGACATCATTCAAAGTAGACTTGGCCGACTGTCCTGAGGAGATGATCAGTCATGTGACCACTGATACAAATGGTGACATCCTAATTGGTATTTGGTGTAATGAGGACAGGGCACGGAATAGAATCCACATTTACGATAACAACTTTGCCCTACAGGGAACAATTCCTAATCAAAGAGCAGCAGAAAAGGAGGTGTTTGGTGGGATTGCCACTGATGATGACGGTAACATTGTCACCGGATGTCAGGGGTCAAATGAAATCATTGTATTCACCAAGACAGGGGACCACGTGAGAACTTTCCACTGTGAGTCACCTCAAGCAGTAGCGGTCAACAGCAAGGGTCAATATGTTGTAGCCAGTTTTAATACTCTGACTGTGCACCACAAGGATGGAAAAGTCCTGCAGACGACACCGGACTCAGAGGGGGAATATTTCAAATATATCCACTGTAATGTGAATGATGACATCATAGTCTCAGATCAAGATGACTACATCCGTGTCTACGATTCCACTCTCCAGCTTAAATACAGATATGGTTCCAAGGGTGATGGAGACGAACAGGTGGACACCCCGTGCGGCACATGCTGCTTGGATAGTGGTGACATCATTCTAACAGACCTCGCCAACCATCGCCTACACCTGGTTTCGCCAGATGGGGAATTCAAGCGGCTTCTTTTAAGCAAGGAAAATGGACTTTACAAGCCAACAGATGTTGTAATAAACCATCTAGGACAACTGGTCGTTGCGGAAAGTGGCGGTGATATTAAATTCTTCGAATTATGAGTGATTTGACTAAGTAGTAGCCAAAAATGGACTCCGAATACATGATGTTTCTAAATACAAATAAATAAATGAATGAATACTAATGAGATAAGTAGTAAACGACCCGTGTAGTCGTATGAAATACAAACATGCTTATGGAAAAAAAGATAATATTGTTACATTTGAAACTCTCGGCTCAGTTTGTCTGATGGGAGACTTTAATTCCAGGACCAGGAATTTGCAAGACACTACGGACATCGAGAATTTGTCCTCTGTACTGATACCAAATAAAACTATTTCAAGTGGAATCTCCCTTTAAACTAAGAAAATCTTAGACACCATTACCTACTTCCAAGGGAGAACTTTGATAAACCTACGCATTTTATTCAGATTGAAAATCCTAAACCGTAGAACACTGAGCAATTCCCTGGTAATAACAGGCAGGGTTGCAGCACTGTACATCACGCAATTGTTAGCGATGGTCTGCTTGGCATAGTACATTTTTCAGGTTCGCCCACTGATCACATAATGGCCCAGTCACAATGTCGGCGATCTGTCGGGGATTAGTTTTGGCCGAGGGTCGTCGTAGAAAAAAAAGAATCCTTGAACAATCCTAGCAATAATCCTTATAAAAGTGGAGCAGTCACATTGTCTGAGATTTTTTCAAGGATTTTGATCCGGTTTTGTCGAAAAATCGTGGGATTAGCCTCCGATCGCCTCCGATTGCATCGGAGGCGATCGGAGATGATATCTGCCAGCGTCTTTTCTTGTAATTTTTTCCCCCTGGGTATATGTGGGGGAAAAGGAGGGTTTTCTGACCTCGGTCATCTGTATTTCTCTCTGTACACTGTACTGTAGCGTGGTATCCCTCATCTGGTTGTACATAGAACAGTCGCTTCAACTCTGCAGAGAAGCTGGCGCTGATTCCGCCCCAGAGGCTCCTCCTCTGCCTCCTCCCCTGCCTCCTCCCCTTGGTCCTCCCCTTGACATCTTCAAAATCTTCTGTCACATCCTCCTGCAGCAAGAGCGTCTCAAACGATTCGTCGGAGACGATCACATAAAGCGTACGAATCGTCGCAGGGCGCCTCCGATTCAGTCGGAGGGCGCCGGATACTACTCGCAGACATTGAATCTCAACCTGATTTTCCAATCCCACACAGAATCTTACGACTAGCCTCAGATTATTCGGAGGACGCCTCCGATTAATCGGAGGGCATCGTAGGTCATCGGAGATTGTGTCTGGGATGCCCAAAATGGGTGAAAAATCTTGCGAGCAATCTTATAATTTTTAAGTTCAAAGTTGGGGACCGCGACGGGTGTGGCGATGTCTAAAAAATCTGCGACAACCCGCAGGCGTCCGGAGAGCGCGTCCGGAGAGCGCCTCCGACGAGTGCAAAATCGTGAGAACAGTCTCAAGATTTTGTTCAAATTTCCCGGGTTTTACCCATCCCCGACGCATCGCAACTGATTTGTGACTGGCCAATAACCCCTTTTACACTGGGGGCGTCCTTTTTGCGTCCCCTTTTTGCGACCATGAAACTGGCATTTTTGTGGTCGTAGGAGGCACAAGCATCGCTTCCGTTGCAGAATGAATGCTTAATGATGGCCAGTTGTCGGCACGTACAGTATTTAATTTACTCTTAGACAGGGCCGTACTTCGGGACGCAGAAAGGGGGCTTTACCTGATCACTGCTTGCTATATCTCTTTATCTAAACAAATGACAAAGGGTGTTGATAAAACGGAATGCACTTCAGCGAGAATCTCTGCAGAGTTAGAACCATCCAGCTGGTACGATGGGTTTATGGGAACGCAGTCGTAGCCATGAGTTGGCTATTGCAAAGGGCAGACACTCCAAACCCCAGCTACAAGAGGAAGGTGCAAACACTGCCTCAAGAAAGATTGATGGAAAACCTCAATACTCGACGGTAGGAAACAAAAACCATGCTGAATTCCCTATCAAAAACGGAGAGAAAAATTGTAATGTGGTAAACTGATCAGAAACTATACCCTACTTAAATAAGGATAATGTAACCCTTTATTATCAACCGATTATCGAATATGAAGTTTTTCTGCATCTAATAATTCAATTATGCATCTATTTTTGGGCTGATTTAAAACAATAAGAAAACACACAAAAAAGGCATTATTTTGTTTTCTGAACGATAAAATCTGAACTTCTAAGAAAAATCGCTGGCAGGGTTTTGAAGTACTAAATCGTGTCATTAAATTGGCGTTAAAATGGTGATCGTGGGTGCTCAGGTAAAAGAGAATTTTGAGAAACCGTTTTTTTTTTCAGCTTTTACCCCAATATGGCAATTATGGCGTCATCCATAAGATGACATATGTGTAAATGTTAATTTGTCTACTAGCCAAAAGAATGTATGTAAGGCAGTAAATAAGGAGTCTTGGGCGAGGGGTGACAATAACCTTAACCCACAGAATGATAAACCTCCTCGAGCAGTGTCTCAATTTATAGTGAAGACAACGCTTTGTTGCCTTTACTGACGATAAACTGCAAGTATGTAGACTGTAGACAACACAAATTTGTAACGTTCTCTTATCCTTAGCATCGATTGCGCTGTATGTTTTAAAGGCAGATGAGTAACCACTGTAACACTCTACAAAATAAATCCAGCCAGTACGATAAAATGATGGGAACGCAGTCTTAGAATTTGGGTAACTAGGTGGTAATTGACTATCGTTAAGTATCCCCTAGCAGCTTGAGTAGGATGACTATCGGTAAGTATCCCCTAGCAGCTTGAGTAGGCGTGCCAGACATTAAAGCAGCTTACACAGAATGCAGAGCTAGATCGATTCAGCTACAAAGATGGATTTATGGGAACGCCCTCGCTAACTTTATGTGCTGTTTAATTGTGCTAGCTGTAATGTGGTCAGCTATAACACTGTGGTGAATAGAATGTACGCCTCGTCTTAGACAAAAATGTTTCTATTTAAACATAGCTCATGGCAAAAATGTACCTGTAACCCCCCCCCCCCCCTTCGCTCTCTCGCCTCTTGGATAAAAGTCTAAGAAGCATGACGAGAGGAAATCAGGCGATTTTCTATCGATGACCCCTACGTTTTATTTATTTCATCCAATGCCGTACAGTGTACGCCCCCACCACTAGCGGTAGACAGAATTCATGGTGAATTTTTTCCGCTCGACGTACCAGTATTCACCTTACGCGTTTTGTTTACCAGTCTACACAGCATTATCAGCGTCAAATTTCACACATTTCCTAGAATTAGAACGTTATCAAAACAATGGCGGTCTTCCTTTACTGGGTTTATTTATATGTTAATAGAATGTTTTGTCGACATTTTATCGAACTTCGTATCAAATGTTTCTCGGAAATTATCTGATATCATCACGACTTGTGAACTGCAAACGACCGGAAGAAGACAGTCGACACCCTGTTTGAAGCGTCAAGCAGGTTTATTTTAAAATTCAATAAACGATCTGTCCTCCAACAGACAAAATGGTGACATTTCTTTTCATGGTATTATTAATATGTGGACAACTCGGGATCGTACCTGCCGCTTCTAATTCAAGGACGAATGAAAGTAAGTTTTCATGCTCTTCTTTTTCATATTTGTAACTTCAGTTCACCTTCGCCCATGATGACTCATTAGTGTAAATGAAAAACTGTCTATTGTATGATAATAAACACATGGGTAATATTTCAGAGCACATTGTAGACTATTTATATTTAGGTTTTTTTATGAATTTTCTCTAGAAGTGACGCTGAACAAAGATTGTCGAACAGAAGCTGTTTTGTGTAACAGGCCCTGTTGCATATTAATTTTAGTCAATAGTCCCAAATATCAAGACAGACAATCTAAGGAATTCATACTTGTGGGACAACTTTTTTAAAATCCTTTTAAACTGTCTTACACATATGCTGTGCAATTTTTATGTATTTCATTATATGCCATTTCTTTTTAACTGATTTCATTTATTTAATTTCACTTATTTAATTCATTAGTTTTTTCATTCATCTTTTAAACCGAGCTCTTAAATATATATGACCGTCTATATTGTCACTATAGGGTGTCCCAAAAATATACTCGCCCCTTCACTGCTCATTGTTTATATCAGCTTTCTTTTACGCTATGTTATTTTGTTATTGTTCTAATGTTAATTTAATACAGATTATTTTAATTGCGCCTTTTTGAGTAAACATCTACATATATAGATGCAAAATATATCAGCAATGGGCAGTTACAAGGAAAACATTTTAGAGCACTCTGTAAGATAACGTTTCCTATTGCTATATATTACAAGCTTGGTTGATTTATCTCAAATCCTCAATTTTAAAGTTGGATTAAGAGATTAAAGGTGTATTCATAAAACCTCTCATATTTATCAATATCTTAAACTCTACTCCATTTATTCTAAAATATTTATGTCAAATATTTCTATAACTTACAAGCGCAAACAGAGCGACAGTGTTATACATGGAATTTACACATTTGTAATATAGCATACATTACCTAGATAATGCAGTTTTCTTTTTATATGAGCGGACAAATTAGAAGCAGAGAATAAGTAGACAAATTGTCCGTCTTTTCAAATCAATAATTATGTTTATTTATCTATTCAGGGCTGAAACATTCCTATCTCGGATTTCCTCGTCTTCATTTCACGGGGTATTTTCACTCGGACCCGATGACGGCGAATAATAGACTTATCAACCACAACATGACCCGGAATCGCGGGCCAAGGATTCAAGCTGACAGTGAGGGGTTTAACAGTGTAGTAAGTGCGAAATAAATTAATTTCTCATTTCCTTTTTATGTACAGGCACTGTAGTGATTTTATCATATTTTTTTGTTTGACACAAGTTTATGTAATCAATATAACCACATGATCAACCGGCCGTCGGTTAAAAAATAAATGGGCTCAATTTTATTTTTTTCTATTTTGGCCACTTTGAGGTCGGCGAAACAGCCCCCTCCCCTTCCATAATGGAGAGACCGGTTCCCGTTTATTTGCACAGGTAAGCCTCGGCCAAGGTTTTGACCCATTTACGTCAGGCTAACCCTAACCTGTAGGATTAAATCTCTGAATTCTTTCCAGGGAACGGGGAACTTTATGTTCTACAACGCTTATGTGTCGGGAGTGTGTTATATGGACGGAACATGTACGTCCCAGGATGACGAAATACTGGGGCAGTCCGTGGAAGGTAGGCACTGATTTCTGGAAATGACTATTATTATTATAATTTTTTTTTTGTTGTTGTTGTTGTTGTTGTTATTGTTGTTGTACTGTGTACCTTCGGCGTTGAATCGTAGTCCGTTCACATGACGTACAGAACAATATTTGAAAAATGCGTTACTCAACACCCTTGTTATAATCCATTGTAACTTGGACTATGGGTCCACAGTTACACATTACTACCGGTGGGAGGGAGTGGAAGGATAAAAACATGTTACCTCGCGTTGGTCGCGAATATAGGATAAAAGACGAGGACAATTTTAGTAGAATATCTAGGGCAGAGGGAGGGCAAATTGTAATAACCAGTCGGTGGTTATACACCTGTTCTTTGAGTTACTTTTTCACCAATAATTAAGACAACTGAGACAGGCAGGGATAGTTTTCTGTTACATGGTTTATTCAAGCGCCTGAAGACTCAGGTCTCTTCTACCGTATCTATAACTATCTCTAACTCTCTCAGTCTGTAAGTCCCCCTGTCTCTGTGGCTCAGTCACTGCCTTTATACTCTATCTTAATTTGCATTTCAAATTAGCTTTCATAACTGACATGAAACATGCCATGCCTATGTACATTAACTTAATTGTAGATACATTTAAATTAAATCTTGATTTGCATTTTAAATGAACTTCTCTTAAACTGCCATGCAACATGTCATGTCTAAGTATATTTGAATAATTAAAACGTACAAATATATACATATCTGATGTATGCAAATTTAGAAGATTCAGTTCTAATTAACGGATCAAATACACTTCTTCAACCGCTACTACTGGCACTGCTGGTAAAGCTTTTATCACTGTAGCTATATAATACACAGCACTACATGTCCCTACCCCACAACTGTACTATTACTAGTACTACCGCTACTACTATTACTACTATAACAAATACAAGGACATCTTCTACTACTACTACTACTACTACTACTACTACACACTAGCTGCTACTTCTTCTACCATCACTTCCTTCGCATGCTGCTGCTGCTACTACTACTGCCACCACTACTACTACTGCAATGTGTTGTAATGCTACTGGTGCTATTCCTTATTTGCCTTCTGCTTCGCTTCCTCTTACTTCAGGTACATGTACTTTAATTCTTATACAGCTACTTCTGGTTTTACCCTCTTTTGTCTTTTTTTTTTAATCTAAAATCTAGACTGGTTCGATCGTGCACCTGCTAAACTGGTCGACATCAGCCCCACCTGCGACACCCTGTCCAACATCCACGGCATGAAGCTGCAGGTAGGCCAGATCATCCGTGCCGCCCTCACGCCGACCCCAGTGCAGCAGATGTGGCTGCGGTGCATCGAGACGCCCAACCTCTCCACCTTCAGTGCCGGGGCCCAGTTTAAATCGGTCCTTACGAACCTCACGTGGCTGGACAGGGATCCTGATTTTGAGTCCCGATTTCTTGACGAGTTGAGGGAGACCAACCCGCTGGCCCTTGCCGTTAAGTTTAATCTGGACCAGTACGACAGCAGGGTTGCCAGTGATAAGTTTCGCTTAGGGAGACTCGTTGGGACGATAGGACCTCACCATCCCAATGACTCCATCCCTTTCATGAGATTTACCAGACAACTCCAGGCGGGTGATAGTGAATGCACTGGACCCTTCTGCCACGCCCCTTTCTCAATTGACCATGCCATGAATTTGCTTACCATCGACGTAGGGAATAGCTTCCGGAGTTCATTCAATGGAAGTTTTAATACCCAGACACTGGGGAGGTTGTACGTTGGTTTTCAGCCTGCTTTGGGTGAAAGCTCTGAGGTGGACTGTAACTCGCAGGTCGTGTACGCCGGTGAAATTAATTACACCACCGAGTACTGGTATGAAAGAACGGCTGGGGTGGTTACACTGAATTTAACTGAAACTCTGTCAGGAAAGGCCATTAAAGAACAATTGCATGTCTCTCCGCTTGTAATATTTAAATACAAGAAAGAAAATGGAACTTTGGTCTGCCAAAAACCGGTATTAGTGGAGAGGCACCACGGGTTAACGGTTGGAGCTATGATCACCAATACTTACAGAAAGGAACCAGGAGAAGCATGGTCTTTTCACTTGTTCGCAAGCAAATTTGGCGTCCCGCAGCCTGGTGTTGAGTTAAGCCTGAACTACGGTGGGGAACACTGCCCCATGCAGATCTGCGGGCCCTGCACCACGGGTTTCAGCACTCCCCAGTCTGCCCTGTCTTTCCCGCCGTTTGTGGTCACAGACGAAGGCGGGTTTGCAAATATCCCGCTGATGGCCTATGATCCGATGGAGGGAGCCCCGTATCCTCATGTTGTAGAACTTCAGGGCTCACAGCTTTATCTTCTCTTTATCAACATGAGCTTTGGAGGCATATCCGACGCAGCTCTGTTCCATTTTGGAGCACGTGTGTTTCAAATCTACCACGTGCCCGACACACCCACGTGGTACGACCACGTGTTACCTACACTGGAGCCCTATCACAATCTGTTTCCCGTTATGCGATCTTTTGTTCATCTCACTGATTATCACAGCGTGTTGGAGAACAAGGATAAGATGAAAGCTGTTCTGTCTTTGCCCATCGATGATCCCCATCACATGCCGACAACGCGGGATTTGTCAAAACGAAAGAGAAAGATGTTGTTGGACTGGCTTGAAAACCCAATACTAGGTCAGCCTGCGCCATCTATTGAGAATCTTCGCACCCTTCTCCAGCAAGCTATGGAACTTGAACTGAGCACTATTCCACCGTACCTGACCGCACTGATGTCCATAAAAGAGGGCTTCAACGTGGAGATAGGGCGGCGGATCAAGAGTGTTGTGGTCCAGGAGATGCTTCACATGGCCCTAGTGGGGAATCTGCTGAACGCGGTTGGCGGGTCCCCATCCATCGCCTCCACATTAAATGCCCCGCTCTATCCCAGTAAGCTACCGGGAGGTGTACGTCCAGATCTGGTTGTCTCGCTGCAGAAACTGAAGCCGAGAGTACATTGAAACTATATTCATGGAGATCGAGAAACCATCCCAGTTGCTTTGTGCTGAATGCAAGTTACACGTGAGTGGAGATGGCTTTTTACCAACAGGCTTGTTCAGCCAGTACCAGTACAGGCTGTCGGCACCTCTGTTCTTACAGAGATACAAGAGGAGCGATTTCCACTTTCTATAACCGCATCAAAGAACTACTGATCACGCTGAGTAAAACTCAAGTTGCGCCAATTTTTACTGGGAATGTGTCAACACAAATTAACGCAACCTTTTGGTACGGGAGAGACGCTTCGTTGTTTCCTTTTGCTATAGTAGATCTTCATTCGGCATTAAAAGCCATTGATATTATAACAGAACAAGGGGAAGGAAGTGACGTATGTACGCCAGTTTACCGCCCCCACGATCTGTCACACTACTTCAAGTTTGCGGAGATTGTTTACGGTAGGGAGGTTAGGATATCGAGGGGGTCTTGTCTTGATGAAGACAGAGCATGCGCAAAGAGGTCATATTCGAGTGACACGTGCACCAAACGCTCGTTGGTAAGTCCAGAACGCACGGAGGCGGTAGATAATAACCAAAAGCGTTGCAAAAGAAAGGGCAAGTACTCACCCACTGATTATGAAAATATCTTCTCTCCTCAGACAGAAACGCCAGTGAAATGTGACACGGTCTACTCATATTCAGGGCCAAGGATTGCGTTTAGTAGTGAAGGCGTCTGGCCGATGGTGCCGAATCCTACGGTCGGCAAATTAGAGAACAATTCCATGGCTGTGATGATGGCGGACGTGTTTACCCGAATGTACTCTGGACTCTTGTATTGTCTTCAGAAATGCTTCAACGGTTTTCCAACTGAACTGAGAAACTGCATCGGTTTGATGCATGCTTTGTATGTCCAAGGGCAAAAACTTGTTCAGACTCCTTTGATACATGGGGGAAACCCTGATATTGGTCCAAATGCGGGGCCGACTTTTAGGTTCAACGGGTTTGATCCAGGAAATGACGACTGACATTCTGTATTTGATGTTTAAGACATTTTATAATATAATGAACTACAAACTTACCCGTTGGGCATTATGTGAAACGAGGATGTGCCGGATCACGCAACAACCTAGATTCGAAATTCTGACTTTCGACTCCGAGGGAATTTATACGCCAACAGACAAGCATTTTGTTTGGTCACGGCAGTTTCGTAAGAGAATTTTACCCCGAATTTTGGCCTGAACTTTAAGACAGAAAGTTAGTTAATTGTAGTTCCTGATACTTTCACAGAAGCTTGCTTAAAGATGCACACAAAGTCAATTTTTTGTCACAAAAATCAACCAAATGCCAGCATATAGTTTCAAGTAGTATAACTAAGAGAAAAATGATGTTTGAACGGATTTTTCTGCTGGCATTCTAAGCTGTATGTCAATGGGGCAGGAAAGTAGGTCACGAAAGTAGGTTAAATTTACAACCAAAAATTTAAAGAAAGGAGCAGTCTAAAGGTCTTTTATGGCTGATCGAGTGATCTATTCAGTTTATCCCTTGGCATGTCGAATTTATTTGAACCATATGAGAATCTAGTAGATGTGGTTTACATGTGTTACTTGGAATCCACGCTCCACCGATGCTCGGTTCGTATGTACCTTTAAATAAAGTAAATATTATTTTGAAACAACAGCCATGTATGTCGTGTTACATAATGGGAGTACGGTTTCATTCGATTAATCAACTGCTGATTTACAAAATGGACTCAAAACGTGGTCTAAAAGTTTAGACAAGATCTTGAATCCGGCTCTTTGAGTAGTGCACAAGACGGCCTCCACAGGCTAAAAATGTTGTTTACTTACAAAGCCACACAATGGGAATTGAGAAAAAAATTAATCTTTTTGTAATAGATCTGAATGTGGCTGATTTAGACAGTCAAGATTCTACGCATCAATTATGTCTCATGTGCGAATCCATCGCGTTGAAGCGATTGTGTTAAAAAGTATTGTGCTGGAGAAGATTGCGTTAGAGAAGATTATATTGCCCACCGTTGTGCTGCACGTAAACACGATCAAGAAAAAAATTCTACAAACTACATGACCCTTTTTCGCATCGAAAGGTACATGTATGCTATATTTTCATGCTTGATTCTGAGAGAATAGTTTGGCTCAAATATCATAAAAGAGAATCTCCTGAAAGGAGTAAATGCTCAACACGCAATCTGTCTACAGAATAATTTTGATTGGTGCATTGGTTTGTTTACCACCACACAACAAACCATACAGAAAGTACATGCAAGGGCCTGTCAAACTGGTGCGTTACGGAAAACTGTATCGCTCGATTTGGAAAGAGTCTCCGAAGTGGACCAGATCATATCTTAATATAAGGTTGCATTTTCAACGAGGGAGACCAGAAGCAGCATACATATACATGGATATAATTTAATCTGCTTCCACGCGTATCATTTTTTCTTCTCGACTCAGTTTCGTAGGTAATCGTATGAGAATTAAGTAAAGACAATCCCATTTAAAACGTGCAATATGTGTAGAAAAGAAAACTAATTCAAATGACGATTATGCTTGCCTTTCCGATTTTCTAAATGTCAGTTCATAAGAAAAAAAGAGGGTGACATTATGTACTGAATAATTAAATTTATCAAACCTTTCCTGGGTTTTACGAGTTAAAACTCGTTTGAAAGCACCTGATTGACGAAAAATATGTTTTCAAGAACATTCCCATTCAATAAAAACATTGGAAGATCGAGCTATTGGGACATATTTATGTCGCTCACTTGGTAACGCAAAAGATAAACAGTAACATATGAATGGAATCTTGAAATAAAGAAAGACATTATCTAAAAACAACAGTCCGAACTCATAAACTTATTAAGTTGCCAATTAGATATAATTTTCACAAACTTTCAATTTTTCAATGATTTAAAAAGCCTGGCCGTGTTTGCAGTATTTAACGACAAGAATGAGCTATTTTTGGCTGCATTTTATTGTTTCATTGATCAATTTTCACAGTAAATTTAGAATTGAAGAAAAAAATTTGAATGTTTTCAGCCGTCGGTCTCTTTGCTGCAGCCGTAGCATACCTAGAAAGAATAAAAAACGCAACAAATTAGCCCCTAAGGAATTATCAATTAGATAATTTGATGTATTGTTGAGGAATAGAATGCGCGTTAAATCTTTTGTCACACTGAATAAATAAATACGAATAAAATTATAGAAAACCTTCGAGTGCTTAATTAAAATGTTAATCGTCATATAAATAAATGCAAAACAAACAATATAGCTAATAATTTTCAAATAAAATAAATCCATGACTGCATACGGGTGCATAAATAAACAATTCAATTAATTAAAAGGAACCTAGAATTAAAAGAAGAAATCCAGTGATGGATTAAAAGAAGAAATCCAAAGATGAACAACTTACTGTTGTTTCACTCTTCGAAACAGGCGCACATTTTTCTGTCATCGGAACACTGTCCTCCCCGTTGCAGCACGTAATAACAAGCCCTCCAGCATTTTTTCTCACGGCATTTCCCGCCTTTCTTTCCAAGGTGTATCACTTGCGGTTTTGCTTTGCCTATAATACATAAAATACGTTCAAATATTAACCGTGAAATGTCCTGGAATACACAAGACTAGTCAAAGATCATTAAGGCATTTTATTCGAATCCGATTCAGCAAATTTTTAACTGTACAATACTAATTCGATTTCGTGGACAATAACTAGGACATTATCGATCAGTCAGCTTTCCCGTAAATTTGAAAAACGACTGTAATTAAAAAAATGAATTGAGAAATAATTTGTTACACCAAATTATACAAATCAGTAACTGTGTAGGCTGCAAATCGTCCCCTGAGAAACTTATTATAAGCGTTCTAGGAAGAAAATTTTTATGGAATCTCTCTAAATTTATTAATTAATTTATTTATTTATTTTGTACACGAGCAATTCCCTACGAGAAAAGCTAAGTAATAAACTTTATAGCGCAATACAATGTATTATTCTCCCTCCTAGTAGCAGTAGTGTCACTGAAATACTTCACAGCCTCCCTAAAAAAATGAATTCTAAGATGAAAATTTAACCACCAGAAAATATTGTATAAGTCTGTACTTACAGCATACAGGTCTGTAGAAAAAACTCACCTTTTTTGTCATCGAAGTCGCTCAATCTTCCTGATCTATTTTTGATATAGACAACGCTCCAATCGGACCCTAGTCCCGCCGATACTCTGCTCTCCACTTCAAGCAGCAAAACCGACAAAACTACTACGAACAGCGCAACAACTTTGAGAGAGTTCATCTTGATAACAAGTAGAATGGCTCTCCATACGGCGGACGAGGCATATAAAGGCTTGGAAGCTCCGCCTTTAAGTCTCGTGGCACCTTTGGCAAACCAATAGAAAGCAGACGAAGTGCGTCAATCATTTTAGTGGGCGTTGACTTGCTCCATTCTCGAGACACTTGGCAACGCTGGCCAACCAATGCCAACGGAATCATTTTAGTGGGCGATGGCATTCTGTTAAATCTTCATGCCTGCGTTACACGTACACCGACTGAATCCTTTTTTTTTTACTTTTTCACATTTTTCGCCAAACGCAAAAGATCTAAGAAATACCAACACTTGATTTTCAATTCCTAAGTAACCTACTGAACATATTCTTTTTCATGACATGTTTTAACACAATGAAAAAAGAATGTACTGGTACGATGAAACACCAATAGATCAATACCAGTGTTACCTACCATGTTTTTTTTTTCAAACTTACTTGCAAAAATAATGACCCAACAAACAAAAAATCCATCTCAATTGTCAAAAAAATCTACGACAAAGCTAAGAAAGATAAGTGGCCATTAAAAATTTTATATAGTTACATGTAGCTGACCGATTTCTCTTACAAGGTACATGCATTCTATACACGTTAGAAAATGTGGCCCTTCCTCTTTGACAAAACTATGAATCTGTACCTTTATCATCCTTAGCCGACTTCTTTATGTTATACTATTCACATTTGAAAATAAAGGTATATA